GGGCGGAGGAGTGGCGGGGGGTAGCACTGCAACCGAATATGTTTCGCGTGTGTTTTGACGCAGGGAACGCTCGCATTTTTCAAAGATGTCTACGGGGCTTGGGGCGTTTGGCGGGGGGCTCCGGGCGCAAGGGATCAGAGCGAGGGGAGAGTGACGGAAGCCATCGCTCACACCCGAGATGTCCTTCGTGTTTTGAGGGCGGAAGCGGGCGCGTCTTGATTGCAAGAGGACGGCTGGGTGTGGGGGGGAGACAAAGGAGAGCTTGATCGGGGGTGGGGGCTCTGATGGGTGGGCGACTGTACATTTGGTAGGGGCGGGAAAACCATCTGGTAGGGGCGCGTGTTTCTTGAGTTCATGTTTGCAACATGGAGATGCTGCCAACAAGTACAGTGAACATGCTTTTGACGAATTCTGGATATGGACGCCAGGGATCTTTTGGCATGGCCTGAGTTTAGAGTTCTCAAGGGCGCCCTCGAGGGCGCGAAGTTATTCGCGCTTCGCGCTTCGCGGTTCGGCTCCGATTCCTCATCCTCCTCTTCTCCCCTGGGAGGCGGCGCGAGAGCGCGAAGTTATTCGCACTTCGCGCTTCGCGCAGCGCGAAGCGCGAAGCTGGGAGCCCTTGAGTTCTCCCGTCGCGTTGCCGAGCTATCGTCTGTGCAGGGGCGTGTTGCCGTTGGAAACGCAAGTTCGCGAGCACCGCGACGCAGGCGCACCGCGATGCCAACGCGCGCTGCTTTAACAAGGGCTCCCCCGAGGGCGCGAAGTTATTCGCGCTTCGCGCTTCGCGGTCCTCGTTCCTTCTCCTCCCCCTCCTCCTCGTCCTCCTATTCTCCCTTTGGGAGGGCGGCGCGAGAGCGCGAAGTTATTCGCGCTTCGCGCTTCGCGCAGCGCGAAGCGCGAAGTTGGGAGCCCTTGAATCCGGGTCGCATGCTGTGTATCGGGCCCATCCCGCCACCGTGCCTGGGTTGTCGGTCTGAGGCCTTTCGTATGTTGGTTGATGTCTACGATTCGTTATGGGTGGCTTTTGGGAGGCAGTGTGGAGGTCTCGTACATCTGCCGAAACGGGGGGAGGGAGGAGTAGTTGGAGGATGAGAACGAGGTGGAGGGCGGGGAGGAGGAGGAAAAGGTTGAGTAGGAGATGGGCGTGAGGACGGCGACGACGACGACGACGACGGTAGAGGGTTAGAGGATGTTGGTCGGGATCTCGTGGTTGGCCTCTTGGGGGCTTCCTACCGTTTCAGGAGCATCTGCCGATGCGGGGAGGGGGGGAGGGACAAGTTGGATGAGGATAAGGAGGGGAGGAGGAGGATGAGGAGGAAATGGGCGATGAGTAGGGTGCGGTGATGAAGAAGGCGACGATGGCGACGACGACAATAGAGGGTTCATGGATAGTAGTCGGGAGGACGTAGTCTGGAGGACGGAGAGGGGGAGGAAGAGTGCAGGTTGGAGGCCTCTTGGGCGCCGTTTTGGGGTCCCTTGGGGCCCCTTTTGGGCCTCATGGGTTCGTCTTGGGGGGTCTAGGGGGACCTCCTGGGAGCTCCTGAGGGCCTTTTGGTTGCCTTTTGGATCGTGGTCCCCCTCCCGGCCCTCTCGTGGGCTCGTTTCAGGCGGCCTTGGGCCGTGTCGGGTGCGTCTTGGGCCGTCTGGAGGCCCTCCGGGGCAATGTGGGGGCGCTCTTGGAGGCCTTTTGGGCCGTCCTGGGGCGACCTCGGGGGCGTCATAGGCCGTCTTGGAGCGTCGGACAGGCGGGAAAACGAGTTTGCTAAATATGTACGTTTTACAAAGGGAATGGGGCCATTTTTGCATCTGGGGGCCCTGTTGGGGCACATCTTCGGGGCACCTTGGGGTGTCGTGGACCGCGGAGAGCGTCTGGGGACCATCGCCGGCGTCTGGGGTCGATATTCCAACGATTCGCGGCCCTCCTGGACCGCGTGGGGGGGCGTCTTGGTGCCCTCGTGGAACATTTTGGGGCGTTCCCCCCCTTTTGGCGCGCATTGCGCGGAACCTGGCGCGGCCCGGGGGTGGGGGTCAAATTCGAGGTTTGGGGTCTCCAGAGGGGGGATTATGGGGGGGAACAAGCTCACACGCCTGAGGTCCCACAAGGGGTCGGCGGACTCCCCCCGACGGTGGTCGAGCACTTGGGGATCGTGACCACGCCTGCCGACTCTTCACACCCATCCTGCCGAGAGGGGACTGGGACAAAGTGCGTGCAGCGAATCGGGTCCTCGGCACGATCCCAAGTGGAACCGATGCCAAAACGCGTCTTGCAGTTTCTTACATTCGCCCATTTCGGCAGTGGGCATGTCCACTACTGGCGCCACCACCGACTACGACGTGCAGGGAATTGTTCAAGTCTGTGACGAGGAGCTCGTCAACGTGGTGGTGTTACGGCCGCTGGTGGGCGCTACGTGTTCATCTCCATCCTCGCCTGTCTGGTGCTCAGCAGGCGTTCAAAGTGATTGCGCAGGAGCGCCATGTCCGGTCGTCTTTCCTGGAGCACCCCATGTCTACGCATGCCCAGGTATTTGAGCTCACTTTTGTCTCTTATGCTGATCCACGCGGGTGCCGACTTGAAGCTAGTGCCGAAGATGATCACCGAGTGTGGAAGTTGCTGCAGCCTGTTGTGGACGCCCAACGGCGTTTTTGGACCACAGGCCTGGACACCCACGCCGCAAGAAGAAAATTGAACACCCTCCGCTGTGTGGCGCGGGCTCGGTGTTTGACTGAGGTCAATGACAAGCGGTTCGACGCGGAGGACATCCTGAACGCGGACGTGGATGCCGAGTCGAATCAGATCTACGCACGCTTTTTCAACATGCTCTCCGCCACCGAGAAGAAGCCCGTGTGCGTCTACCGCTCGGGCGCGGTGTCGTCGGAGACCCGACGATGTTCTTGGAAGGGCTGCTTGCGCCGTGGGCAGCCGACGCCCAGCTTTCGAAACTCTTGGGCCGTGTGCCTTCGCTACTTCTACGACCGTGTGGGCATCGCTCGCACCTATGGACTGGCATCGGATTGGTGGAATACCGCACCGCGGGTGTTGGCGAAGTCGGGTTGGGTCACTTTCAGCTGCTCGCCGATGCCATCGACGCGAGCCGAAATGCTGACTGCCGCTGTTGCGATGGCGCGGTTCATCTTGGGTCCGTGCCCCAGTGCATGGCTACATCCACTTGACCACGAACCTTCTGGTGAGGTTCGGGTTTCATGTGGCTAACTCTTTCTCATGGTGAGGTTACTCCAGAGTTCGGGTACTTCACTTTCACCATCTTCTTCTAAATGTGAATGTGACTAGGGCGATGGCGATGGAGATGCCGGAAATGCTGCTGCTGATGATGGTGGTGGCGGTGATGGTGATACCGGCGACCGTTATGATAATTATGAGGGTGATGCTGCTGAGGATGATGATGGCGATTGTGCTGATGCCGCTGCTGATGATGATGGTGATGATGATGATGGCGATGATGATGGTGATGATGATGATGATGATGATGATGATGATGCTGATCGTGATGATGATAATGGTGGTTGTGGTTATGATGCTGATGATGGAAATGTCGGGGCTGTGATGCTGAATCAAGAGGTGGTGGTGCTGCTGCTGATTATGATGCTGCTGCTGACAATGATGAGGATGATTTTGATGATTATGCTGCTGCTGCTGATGATGGTGATCGCGGTGATCATGGTGGTGGTGGTGGTGACGACAACTATAACGACTATGAGGATGCTCGTGCTGATGGTGATACTGGTGATGACGATGTTCATGATAATGCTAATGCTCATGGTAATGATGCGCACGAACATGATAATGACGATGCTGATGATGGTCATGCGGATAATCAGGAGGATTATGATGATGAGGCTGATGATGCTGGTGGTAGTCATTGTGACGTTGATGATGCCGAGGACGACGATGACGGCGACGACGATGAGGATGATGATGCTGATCGTGCTGATGCTGGTGATTTTCAGATTGCGAATGTTTACTATGATATCGATGTCGATGTCGATTGTGGCGATGATGATGCTGCCGATGATGAGGGTAATGATGATGATGGTGCTCATGACTATGACGACTATGCTGTTGTTGACGATGTTGACGAATAGTGGTGATGATGGTGCTGATGCTGCTGATGATAATGGCGCTGACGATCTGATGATGCTGCTGCTGATGCTCAAGATGATTATGATGCTGGTGATGATGGTGGTGAACCTAATGGACATGCTGCTTGTGTTGATCAGAATGATGATACTGATGATGGTGATGATGATGAAGATGCGAGTTATGCGAGTCGTATGACGATGAGGACGATTCGAAGCCGGATTCTGAGTACAACTGCTAATCATAGCACGATGACGTGCACGTGGCACGAATGGTCGGACAATTTATGTAATGTTGGAACTGCTGATGGGGTTCTGATGATGATGTTGATGATTGCAGTGGTGGTGATGATGCTGATGATTGAGATGATGTGGTTGTGATGCTGAATTGGGTTGGTGATGATGGTGATGATGCTGCATAGTGTGACGATGTTGATGATGTTGATGATGCTGATGATGCTGATGATGCTGCTGCTGAGGATGATGGTGCTGATGATGATGCTGCTGATGCTGGAACGGATGCTGATGATGCTGATGATGCTGATGATGCTGAGGATGAGGATGACGCTGATGATGCTGATGCTGATGCTGTCGCTGATGCTGGTGATGATGATGATGATGATGATGATGATGATGATGATGATGATGATGATGATGATGATGATGATGATGATGATGATGATGATGAGGGGGAGGAGGATGATGATGAGGTGGAGGAGGAGCAGGCGGATGAGGAGCAGGAGGAGGAGGAGGAGGAGGAGGAGGAGGAGGAGGAGGAGGAGGAGGAGGAGGAGGAGGAGGAGGAGGAGGAGAGGGAGGAGGGGGGGGTAGACAAGTGGCGGAGTACCAGGGAAACGTGGACGAAGGCGCGGGCGAGGGCCAATGGCGCGCGGACCGCGGGCGAGGTCGCTGTCAAGTTCGAGGACTTGCAGGGCCACGCGCTGCAGCTGGAGCATGAGGCTCGCGCGCCTCTCGCCAGAACTGGGGCAGCACGGGGCGTCCCCCCTCCTCTCGTCCGCAGGCGCGCGGCATCGCTCGGGCGTGCGCACTCTCTCCCCCGGCGAGGGCCGTCGGGGAGCATCCTGGACCATCGATCGGAGGGCACCAACTATACACCAACACCGATCCTGACCCAGGATCACCCTGGGCCCAGGATCGGTGTATATGCCTTCTTGCGCAAGGCAGGAGGGCGTATACACCGATCCTGGGCCCAGGGTGATCCTGGCCAGGATCGGTGTTGGTGTATAGTTGGCGCCTTCCTAATCGAGGGCCAACATCACGCAGAGCAGCCGAAGCATGCATGGGGGGAATGGGCGCCCGAGCGATGGCAACATTCGGCGCCTGTATATCACCTTGCCTGGTCGTGGCAGTCCTGGGCCCTGGGATGGTGCGGAGGTCCTCGTGGCCGTGGCCGGGAGGGCATATTCACTACGCCTGAGCGCCCGGATGCTCTGGCGTGTCGTGGTGTTGCAGCTGTTTTCTGCGTATCTCGGTCCTCGTATTCCTAAGTCGGGCGTGTCCCTCTACAGGAGGAATATTCAAAAATAGTCAATCGTCAGGGGACGAATTTTCGATTCTGTTCCGACTATTTGAAATGTTTTTTTCACTATTTTTGATTATTCTTCCGAAATCCGCCTGTAGGAGAACATGCCCGACCTAATCGTATTCCTCCCTCCGCCTCGTGTCTCTCGTCCCGATGCTCCTGGCAAGCCCCGCCACCGTGCCAGCGCAGCATCGGAGCCCATGCAGGCTGGCCCTACCTAGCTCTCCCGAACAGGCTTGGTAAAGCCACCTTGGAGCTTTCTGTATGGCAGCGCTTCGATGCCACAGCGTGTCGCTGCTGTGACATTGCATGGCTGCAGTATTGCCCCTGTGGGACTTACCAGGGTTTCTTGCCGGCTTCTTTTGCGTCTCGGCGGGGCCTTTGAGGGCTATCTCGGAGGCATCTTGGGTGCTTTTGAAGGGGCTCTTGTGAGCTGTCTGGCCAGGGCCAGATTGACCAGTGTCATTCTGATAGATAAGAGACGGGTGACTTTTCACACCTCCTCGATTTCATTGAGCGTATGGTATGGAGGGGTACCCATCTCTTACTCACTGTAGTTGTAATGGAACGGTGAGCCCAGCCTTGAGTTCAAGATATCGGGGCCGTTTTGTACGCGGCGGTTCTACAAACTTCTCCCGAACAGGTTTGGTGGTTGAGCCTTTTGGGGCTGTTTGGACGCACCGCGGGGCCATCTTGGAGCCCGCTTGGTGTGGGCTTGGTGTGGGAGTTATTGGGCCGCCGTGCGGCTGTGTTCTGCCCTCTTGGCCTGCCGTTGGGATTCTGGAGGCCGACAAGTCTCGGAAGCAGCACGCGCACACACTCACTGAACTTCTTCATGTGCTCTGTGTTTTTGGCTTCCAAGGTCTCGCTGGATACCTCCTTGAACCTCATGGGGCTTCCTGGCCCCTATGAGATCGTTTGTCCGTCTTTGAGCATCTTGCAGCCATCTTGAGGCGGTCATCGTCACCCTTAGGACCATCTGGAGGCCGAGGATAGCGCTGGAGAGCAACACTAAGGGGCCGATTTGTAACCCCTCGCCCCGAGGGGGGCGTGCAACGGGAGAACTTCGGAGACCCTGCAAGACAGATGTTCCGACGCCTCCTCCGAGGTCCACATCTTTCGCGTCCATTGGCGTGTTTCTGTCGTCCTTGCATTGCAGATCGCGACGGCGCGGCGAGACTTGGTCCGTAGAGTGGCGTTTGCACGGTCCACGGATCACGTCTGAAGAGGGAGCCCACCACCACTGTGTGGCAGGGGAGCGGCCCCATGCCCCCCAGGAGCCCGCTTGGGGATGTGAGGGAGGCAGGGGAAGGAGAGGAGGGGCGTGGTGGAGACATGAGTGAGGGAGGCGGGGGAGGGAGGGAGGGAGGTATGCAGAGGGAACGTCGAGGAGGGGAGGTGCGGAGAAGTGAGGTGGGGAGAGCGGGGAGGATGAGGCGACCGAGACAGGGAGGGAGAAGAAGGAGGGGACTGGATGGGAAGGGGGCAATGGAAAGTATACGCCACGCCTGCTCGCCGCGAGAGGTCGAGGTGCTCCGACTCCTCTCGAAGCCTGTCAAGATGCCGGGCTTTGCGGAGTGCCACTACTGGGGCAAGGAGGCGGACGGGGTTGGCGCAGGGCACGGCGGAGGGTCCCAGAGCAGGTGCAGCACGTGCGGGCAAGCCCGGGCTGTTTTGCAGAGGGTCGCAAGTTCCTTTTACTGTGAGTTCGCGATTGCTGTACCTTCTGCTAGACGCAGGGGCGGAGGTTGCGCTTGTCCTTGGAAGAACTTCGTCCGCAGTATTTGCACCTCTTGCAAAGCCGCTACGGTGACCACGAAGGTGGGATACGACCTTTGAGATCGGCGGGGCTTGTTGCTCTGGTCCTTGACACATTGGTCTTCATGGCTCACATCAGAGCCCTTGGAAGGAACACCTGTACACTACTGGACTGGCAGGTTGTGCGTGCTCATCGGGCTGTGCACCTCTGGTGCAGCATCACTAGTGCCTGCTTCTGCTCCGTGGCGTTTTTGCCACGTTGCGTTGCTCGCGCAACACGGAGCATGACCGCCAGCTGGGTTCATTAGCATCAGCCTAATATTTGTCGCCCAGAATTCCACAATGCGGCGACAGCGCGTGCTCACAGTTCAGCCGCTGTTGTGTCTAGCCAGTCGTCTTGGCGATAGCACAGCAAGCAGGTTACCTGTCGGCGCGCGTGTTCTTCTTGGGTCTCTGAGCGCACTCGGACTTCACAACTATCACGTGTGGTGCCATCTTCGGGGGATGGTTTGGACAGGTTGGGAAAAAATACAGAGGAGGTGGCGGCTCTGTCTTTGGGGTGTGCAGGGAAGAGGGTCCGAGAGCGGCTGTCCTGGCCCAGCAGGCAGCATACGGGCTCCAGTTCTGGCCTCGAGCTGGCAGCAGGGGCGGCAAAGGGAAAGGGAGGGAGCCATGCGGCGAAGGGGGCGAGGGGAGGGGAAGACTCGGGGGAGGAGGGCGGCCTGTCCAGGAGAGGAGGGACATGCGAATTCCGAGGAGGGGGGGGAGATGGGCAGGGCAGTGTGGGAGGAGGAGCGGGGAAGAGGAGGTGGATAAAGGGGGAGGGGGAGGGGGAGGAGGGAATGCGGAGGAGAAGAGGGAGGAGGACCAGTGTAAACCCAATGCCGCATCGACGATGTTGCAAGACACCCTCCCTCCACGTTCTTTCTTCATGGGGCCCTGCAACCATGTACATAGTTGCATTGCGGGAAATGGCCCCTTGGGAAACGAACGTCAGAGAATCATCAACCGTGCCAAAACGCCATTCTGGGATTTCAGCGTTGCGAATCAACGTGCCTATGGTGTCCTGGTAATCCGAAGCCGTGTCTCAACATCATTCCTGGGACTTCGGCACAACGCATCCGCGTGACTGTTGCGCCCTTGAGAATCGTAAGTCGTAAGTCTTACCATAATCGTAAGTCGTAAGTCTTACCAGTCCTTGGCACTGTTGTGTATCTGGCCAGTGTGCGTGGCGCTAGGGCGAGAACACCATTTTGAACAAGGATCCGCCCTACATCTTTGGAGCTGCTGCAGCGTGCTAAGACGATTGTGCGCGGCGAAAAGGGCGAAACCAGCATTTTGAACACCACCCGCCCTCCATTCTTGAACCTGCTGTGTTCTCCACGTCCCAAGTGCGTTTCTCGTTTTCTCTTGGACGCCCCGCGCAGGAACACACCCCCATCACCATCACACTCGGAAGTATCACCGTCATCATCATCACCATGTACCCAGTCACACTGACACACTGCTCATCACCATACACGCTCACACATTCACATGTTCACCGTGAGGAAAGTCTCGAGCATGTTGGCAATCCGACCGGGCCATTGGGATATTCGACCAGGCATAGCACTTGAGCACCACAAAGGGGCACATCGTGCGAATGTCTCCAGCGGGGACCTCGTTTGTGAGTGAACTGTGAGGAGGTCTGAGGCGGGAGTCCTCTCCCCCTGGGGCCCGCACTTCATGTTGGTACTCCGAGCGGTCCTTTGCCTACTGTAGCAGGCATGACACTTGAGCATCCCAAGGGGGCAACTCGTGAGGATGTCTCGAGTGGGGGCCTTGTCTGCGAGTGAATTGCGAGGCGGTGTCAGGCGGGAGCCACCCCCCTATGGGGCGCAGATCATGTTAGAGATCCGAGCGGGTCATCGGGATATCCTACCAGGCATGACGCTTGCGCACCCCAATTGGGGCGCATCGCGAGGATGTCTCGAGCGGGGGGCTCGTTTGTGAGGAAAATGAAATGAAGTCTCAGGCGGGAGCCTCCTCTCTATGATGCCCTCAGTTCATATTGGTAATCCGAGCGGGTCATCAGGGTCATCAGGATATTCGACCAGGCATTGCACTTGCGCACCTGAAGGGGGCAAATCGTGAGGATGTCTCCAGCGGGGGCCTCGTCTGTAGCGAGTTGCGAGGGAGTCTGAGGCGGGGGGGGCCCCCTCCCTATGAGGCCGCAGTTGATGTTGTTAATCCGAGCGGGCCATCGGGAGTATCTACCAGGCGTAGCCCTTGTGCACCCCAAGGGCGCAAAGTGTGAGGATGTCTCGAGCGTGGGCCTCGTCTGTGAGTGAATTGCGTGAAAGTCTCAGGCGGGAGCCCCCTTCCCCACAGGGCCCGCAGATCATGTTAGTAATCTGGCGGGAGCCCTTTCCCTACGGTGCGCGCAGATCATGTCAGTAATCCGAGCGTGTCATAGGCTTATTACGGCAGGCGTAGTACTTGAGCACCCTACGGGCACACAACGTGAGGATGCCTCGAGCGGGAGTCTCGTTTGTGAGTGCATTGCAGGGAAGTCTCAGGCGTGGGCCCCCTCCCTATGGGGCCCGCAGGTCTTGTCAGCAATCTGAGCGGGTCGTTGGCCTATTGTGGCAGGCATTTTATTTGCGAACCCCAAGGGCGCAAATCTTGAGGAAGTCTCAGGCGGGGTCTTCGTCGTCAAGCGAATTGCGAGGAAGTTCCAGGCGGGAGCCCCCTACCCATGGGGCGCGCAGATCATGTTAGTAGTCCGAGTGGGTCATTGACATACTGTAGCAGACATATCACTTGTGCAACCCAAGGGCGCAAATCATGAGGATGTCTCGAGCGGGGGCCTCGTGTATGAGTGCAAAGCGAGGAGGTCTCGAGCGGGAGCCCCCTCCCTATGGGGCCCGCAGGTCCAAAAAGCGCCACAGGTCGCACAGTTCCCACGGGCCCCACAGGTCTAAAAGTTCCCACACGGCGCATCCTGGCATCCTCGCATCTTGGCAGCATCATCATCGTTAGTAGTCTGTGAGGGTGAGTCTTGTTCACATTAAGGAGACTATTATGTGGGGTTCTTCCGCCGGAGTTGTTCGTAAAGAGGATTGCGCGCGGCGCTGAGGCGATAGCCACATTTTTAAAATGACCCTTCCTCCATCCGTATAGATGCTGTAACCTTTTCACACATGTGCGCGGCGCTAAGGCAAGAGTCACAGTTTGAAAACCACCCGCCCTTCATCCGTGAAACTGGCTGCAAACTTTCAAGACGAATGTGCGCGGCGCTGAGGCCACACCACACTTGAAGACGACCGTCGCCGTGCACCCTGGCCGCGCATCCGCACATCACGAGCTGGTCGCGCTGCAGGGGGGTGCGGTTGGGCCCGAGGTGGGGTTGCGGAGCGCTTTTCCTCAAGCCCCCACCCCTGACTCTGCCCTGGAGGGTTTCTCCGAAGGGCTTAGGCGACCCGTCCTCTTCCTCCTCCTCCTCCACCTCCTCCTCCCCCTTCCCCTCCTCCCCCTTCACCTCCTCCTCCTCCTCCTCCTCCTCCTCCTCCTCCTCGGGTCGCCTGCGGCCTCGGGGGAAACCGTGCACCCGGACCCTGCCCCAACTTGACGTGCCTCCGACCTCTGGCCTCGCTCCGTCGGTGGCCTTCGGCGGCTTCGGCGGCCTCCAGCGGCCTTCGACTGCCCTCCGGCGGCCTTCGCGGCCTGCGCGGCGGGCCTTCCGCGGCCAGCGGCGGCCGCCCCCATCGGAGAGGCTCTCCCCTTCCCGCTCTGCGGACCCCTGCTGTCCTCAGGGGGGGCTCGTCCTCACGAGGCTCGGAGGGTGCGCCAGGGGCGTTCTAAACCACGCGCGCCCAGAGGGCTGGTGAGATTTGCCGTCGATTTCCCGAAGTCATGCCCTGTCCCTCGCAGGGGGTCTTCGGCCACGTAGAACGGTACTAGTACGACTAGTACGGTATCGCCGAAGCTAGAAGGAGAAACAACGCCATGAACATAATCTTTTGGCGCTCCGCGCGGATTCCTTGAATCTGCGCTGGACTGCGCGCGGAGCGCGCCAGGGGCGGCGCTGGAGGCGCCGCCGTGCGGGCCCAGCGCGGATCCAAGGAAGCCGCGCGGAGCCTCAGAAGTTTATGTTCATGGCGTTTTCTCTTCTTCCAGCTTCGTCGATACCATACTGGTCGTACTAGTGCCGTTCTGCGTGGCCGAAGACCGATCCATGTCGATCCAGTCGATGTCGATCCGATCGATCCGGCTCGATCCGATCGATCCGATCCAACCGATCCCAGAAGCAGGGACCATGTCGATCCGACTGAGCCAGTCGATCCAACTCGACAACGGCTTCGGCCAGCCCGGTTCGATCCGACTCCGATGCTGTCCGGCGACCCGACGTGGCCCGACGACTTTCAGGAGGGACAAAAAACACACAGACACAATTATTTGTCGATTTCCAGGAAAATATGGGAAAATATGTGAAGTGGGGGGGAAGACAAAAACCAAGAAAATATAGGAACATATGGGACATATTTTATTTGTGTGTATTTATTTGTGTGTCCCAGGGCCCCTTCAGACTCGCATGGCGCCCTTTGTGCATCCTGGCTCGGTCCATCCTGTGCGGCTCCAGCTCCGTGCCGCGGCGGCCCGATTCGATGCACGGTCCAACCCGATTTGGTTCATCGATCCGATCCTGGAGATCCAACGTAGTGAACAAGATCAAGACGGAGTTTTCTCGCAATTTTTCGCCGGGCCCCAGGACCGTCAAGAAACTACTCAGGATGAGAAGCCGGTCCTGGGGACCGGGTCGAGGCTTCCAGGGGCCCCGCACGGAGCAAGCCACGACGTCGGATCCCTGGGGTGCCGGACGCCTCCTGCCGAAGCAGAGCCGCCTGCCGCGCCGCATCGCCAGGGGCGCTTCCACTGCCTCGTGATGGACCTGCTCGGCAGGTCTCTCGAGGATCGGCGCGGCCTGGCCGCGGGTGCGATGTGCCGCCGCAGAGTGGGCGCGTGCACGTGCGGAAGACTGGAGGGCGGGCACGTGCCACGCGGGCGAGCCTTCTGGGGGCGAGCCTGCGGCGAGGAGGGCGGCCGTCAGAGGGGGAGGAGAGGCACCGGTGGCGCTAGATCCCCCTCGCCCTGCCCCCGTTTCTTGACCTTTGGGCCTCCTGGGTGGTCCTCGTCGGCGCGCCTGGATTCGCCTCGGAATCGTGGTCAGAGCGTGCTGGGGCAGAGGTGTCCGAGAAGTAGCGTTCTCAGACGTGTCTTGATGCCCCCCCAGGACTATGTCCTAGCCATTGCCACATGTAATGGATATGCCAGAGCTCTAACACGTTGTGCGCTCGCTGCCTCTGTACAGCGTCTTCTGAACTCCTCTGAGTACCAGCTTTTGCTCTTTGGCCGATCCATGCTAATCCAGACAGTGATAGCAGGGAAGGCGCCGGCGGCGACAGGCGAGGAGTGGAGCGACGACGATAATGATGATGATGATGATGATGATGATGATGATGATGATGATGATGATGATGATGATGATGATGATGATGATGATGATGATGATGATGGTGACGATGATGATGACGATGATGATGACGATTGTGATGATGATGACGATGGTGATGATGATGATGATGATGATGATGATGATGATGATGATGATCATGATTATGATGCTGGCCAGGAGTAGGCGGAAGGTATGGTGATGTGACGGTGATGGTTATGGTGATGGTGGTTCTGATGATGGTGATGGTGGTGGTGATGCTGATGCTGATGGTGGTGATGATGATTGTGATGATACGGATGACGATGATGATGACGTTGATGATGATGATGCTGATGCTGCTGATGATAATGATGACGATGACGATGACGATGACGATGATGATGATGATGATGATGATGATGATGATGATGATGATGATGATGATGATGATGATGATGATGATTATGATCAGGATCATGATGCTGACCATGATTCGGCGGATGGTATGCTGACATGATGCTGATGATGATGGTAATGGTGATGGTGGTGATGATGATGGTGATGACGATGGTGATGCTGATGTTAATGGTGGTGATGATGATTGTGATGATACTGATGGTGGTGTTGATGATGATGATGATGCTGATGCTGATGCTGATGCTGATGATGATGATGCTGATCATGATTATGGTGCTGAGGAGGAGAAGGCGGATGGTATGGTGATATGGTGATGGTGATGGTGATGGTGATGGTGGTGATGATGCTGATGATGGTTGTGATGCTGATGCTGATGGTGGTGATGATGATTGTGATGATACTGATGGTGGTGAGGATGCTTGTGATTCAGATGGTGATGATGATGACGATGATGATGATGATGATGATGATGATGATGATGATGATGATGATGATGATGATGATGATGCTGATGATGATGATGATGATGATGATGATGATGGTGATGACGATGATGACGGTGGATGCTGTTGAAGATAGTAGGGTACGAGATGACATTGCATGACGTGGTATAGTATCCTATGACGACGACGATGATTCTATAGGCTTCTTACGCCACATCCTCCGACCCCTCTATAATTTACCGCGCCTCCAGGACTGCATTCCACAAGGCTTGTCCGAATCATGACACGGCGCTCGACATCGTGCCTGTTGCCGCGGCTGGACGCGGCTCGAAGATCCAATGCGTTCGGGCTCCAAGGGGGGTCCAGGGTCTGTTGTCTGCCACCTCTCGGGCAGAATTCCGAAGCCAGGGCAAGGAAAAGTAGCAAGAATGCGTCAAGTTCAGGGTAGTGTGTGGCACGCTCTGGGATGTCCGTTGGGATCTTGTGGCGAGGATTCTCGCGGGCCTCTTCGAGGCAGTTTCGAAGGGTCTTGGGGGCCGTTTTGGGGCTTCTTTTGAGCCTCTTGGGGGCTCCTGGGGGCCTCTTGGGTGCCTCATGGGGGCCTCTTGGGGCCGCTTGGGGGCCTCTTGGGTCCTCCAGAGAGCTGCGTTGGGCGGAGCGCTGGAATTCGCGGTTCGTGGTCCCTCTCTTGGGTCCTTCTTGGGGCCGTCTTGGAGCTCTCTTGGGCCGTCTAGGGCGCCTCTTGGGCCACGTTGGAGTTCTCTTGGGTTGTCTTTGGGGCCTCTTGGGAGCCTCGTGGGCCGTCTTGGGGTGGTCCTGGGGGCCTCGTGGGGGCCTCGTGGACGGCTTTCAACGCCGTGAAGGCTAACAAGTTGGATATGCTGAAAATGCACGTTTTCCCAATTTTGAGATTTTGGTTTCTTGGGGGCTTCTTGGGAGGCCTCTTGGACGCTTCGTGGGGTGTCTTGACGGCCTCTTGGGCCGTTTTGAGCTCATCTTGGATGTCTTGGAACGCTCTTTCGGCAACTTGGGGTTCTCGTGGACCGTTTTGGCGGCTTCTTGGGAGGCTTCAAGTGCTGTCGTGCAGCTCAAGAGCGAGCCCAGGGAGCCCAGACCGCTTCGGGTGAGTTCGGCCCGGGGCCGGGCCGGGCTGGGGGGAGGGGTCAAAATCCCGGTTTGGGGTCCCTGGGGGGGATTATGGGAGGGGAACAATCTCACACGCCTGGAGACCCACAAGGGGTCGGCGGATTATGAGGATGAGGATGTTACTGTTTTTGTTGATTTTGGCTTTAACGCTGATGTTTGTAGCGTCTCTAGGCGCGCGAGCGCCATGCAGACGGCCTGAGATCATGCGGCTGCGCGGCCCAGGCGCAGGGTGAGGGACGACTCCGCCTTGAGCTCGGTCGAGTCCTTGACGGTGTTGATGTCGGCGCGGCCGTCCGGACCGGCAGGGCGAGCTCACGCACTACGCGCGTCCAGGGAATGGGTATCGAAGTTCTTGTTCACGAGAGCAGAATCAAGTACCTCGGTCAATTCATTGGATTTCACAGCGCGATGGGAACAGACAGTCATCACCGCGCATGGGCGTCTTTCACTTCGCGCAAAAGAGGAACTGACCAGCAAACACTATCCACTGGCGCACCGACTCCAGATTCTCCACAGCACAGTCACCCCGACAGTACTTCGTGGAGCAAAGGCCTGGACCCTTAGGTAGCCTCTCCGTGAACACCTGCGGCGGGCACAGCGAGGCATGTTTCGCATGATTATATCAGGACGTCCCGACGACGCACCATCCGCCAAACATACTCCCGCTCCAGGCATGAATAACGAAGCACTGGGTAATGACCTCGGCGCCGATAGCACTGGTGACGACGCGGACAACAATCCGCCACCACGCGACACAATTGCCACTTCAGACAAGTGCAACGATTGCGACGACGACACCGCGCAGATGGACATGAAGTGGATTTGGAAACATGGGTCGACTACATTCAGCTGGGTACTTGTTGTACACAGCATCCCCTGAGGCACCATTAGATCGACAGCTGGGTGACGACCTATAACAGGATTCGTGGTTCTTGGTGCATTGTTTCAAGGGTTGCCAACCACGAACACATAGGTGCACGTGGAGACCATTACACTGTCATCCAGGAGAAACTCACGACTGCACGGACAACGACAGCACGGCGGCCAACTCAAACGCGGAGACGATGATTCAATCACATATTCCCAGCAATGCAGATTTTGTTTTCGTTCAGCACTCATACCAACCATGAGAAAAAACAGTCCAAAGATTTCACCTCGGATCGGTCGGTCCAAGACGACCTCACTTGGTCGACGCTTTCGCGCCAGTGCATCAATGACGCATGACGACATTTGGCCGGCATCGGCTAACGGGACTCCTTTCTTCTCTTTCTCGTTCCCTCCGCGACATTTTTCCCTATTAGTCTGGCAGTCGCGATGTGCATTCGTTCGTTCCCATGCGCCAGCTCCAGGAGGTTATGGCCTCCCCCACCTGGTCGTTTCAATGCCCGGACGACTGACTGTCCGCCGAGGTGGCCCGGTCGCTCGGAGGTTTGCCTGTGCCCATGTCGACGCGGCCGTCGGCGCAGTAATCGGCCGTGTCCGTGTTGCTGTCGGTGCGGCCGTCGGCCTCGAAATCGAAGGTTTCGAAGGATAAGGACGAAGACGACGATGACGATGATTATGAAGATGAATGTGGTGGTGGTGGTGGTGGTGACGATGAGTAGGAGAGGGGAAGTGGGCTAGCGGCGGTGGGCATGAAAATGGCGGCTAGGGGAGGGATCATGGCGGTAATGATGGTTGCGATGTTCGGTGTTGATGATGATGATGATGATGATGATGATGATGATGATGATGATGATGATGATGATGATGATGATGATGATGATGAGGGTGCGGGGCAGCTGCGAACATAGTATAAGGAGAAATTTTGATGATGCTGAGGATTACGGGGGATGGATCATCTTTGGTCGGTCCAACGAGCGGAAGAAACAGCAGGGATGGTGAGGCGGCGGAGGGGGATGTAGGAGTACAGCCATGAGGGCGAGGGACATTGGATATTGAAGTGGTTTTTGTTTTCACTTGGGTAGCTTTCTCACCTTGTCACATTGTCGAGGAGGCTGCCGAAACCCATCAGTGATACGCACGTCTGTGCTACAACGGTTTCTCGGCACAGTGCGCTATCACCACGATGCTGAGACTTTGCGTTGCTTCTGGTTTGTTTCTGAACGGTCGGGATGTGCTGTTTTGAAATATCTTCCTATCAGGTGCAGCCTCTCTACGGTGTCTTCCGGGTGATTCTATTTATATCGTTTCGGTGTTACAAACGCACGAACGCCACCGAGCGAGTGCCATTATGGAGATTTGGCTGGCATCTGGTGCAGTAGGCCGAATTGTGGGGTGCATGCCGCAGGCCGCGTGGATGTGTTGTGGGACATGGTTGGACCTCTTCCTCTCCTCTTCCTATCTCCCCCGCCCTTTTTTTCCCGCCTTCTGCGCATCCTCCCCTGCTCGAGGCGCACTTTGCCAGCAGCCTCGCGCGCCCGCTTGCACGACGGTTCGAGGCGGAACGCTGCACACGTTTCATATCGCAGC